CATTCTTTTCTAGAACCCCAAGGTCATCTTTTGTCTCCGCACCTCTGCACCTGACCCGAAGCAGCTGGGTGGCGATGCCAGCATGGAAGAAGATTGGACCATGTGATGGATTTGTGGGTGTGGGGACAAGATCATGAACTTTCAACTGGGTGGGATTCTGATGTAATGTCCAGAATTGGGATTACACAGATATGCTAAGATGTCTGATTTATTAAATTGAAACTTTAAGGATCGTTTTGCCTTGGACTCTGATTTAATTCTACATGATACTTGGAACGCTGACACAGGACCTTCTGCACATGCAGTGTCAAAAATGGGACATGATGATGTCCAGGTGGGTGGCAAAGCCTCCCGCTGCCACCGTTACCTGTTCGCCCAAACCAGATAGAACCGGCTGAATTGCACCACTGATCCTAGACCAGACACTATCTCCATATGTTGTAATAGTGGAAAACAGTATAGTATAATGGTTAAGGTATCAGGTTAGAAACCAGGATAGGTCTAGTCTCACCTTAGACAGGAAGCCAGCTGGCTGATCTTGAGCCAGTCCCTCCCCCACCCTCTCTCTCTCAGCCCTAAGAAGCAGCCCAGGGCAAACCATTTCCAAAATACATTGCCAAAAATACTGAAGGAACTTGTCCAGGCAATTGTTGGGATTCAACACAACACTGACTCAACAGCAAAATTTAAAACATTGCATTTGTATTAGTAGTTCTCCATAAACTGATCTTGGATAATGGAAAGAAATTAAAAACATTTCAACAAATATCTAAGGAAAGTTTCAAACATGTAGAACTTTTTGGTCCATCACATTGCAGATTTCACTGTGTTACTGAGACTAGTTCTACATATCATGTTCAGCCATATAATGCTCCTTTGCTGTGCATTTCATAATTAATAATCAATGGAGGAGAATAGCAACAATTAGCATAATATAATTATGTAGTTCATAGCTCAATGTTAGACTGCTTGGTCTTTCTCTAAACTGCCTTCCCACCTAGCTAAGGTGGGACTGTTGATTACATCCTCCAAAATGGTACTACAAAATAAAAGCCCATCTCTCAAGAGGCAAAATTGTCTATTGACAATAACTATATAACTATAATGTCTAACATAGATAGATGGCACTGTTCCACAAATGTCTACTAAATATATACCCTGAGCTGGTGAGATTTGAACAGCCGAACTAGAGATAACAGTCAGCCGAGGTGGCGTAGTGGTTAGAGTGCAGTACTGCAGCCACTTCAGCTGACTGTTATCTGCAGT